CATCGTTGTAATTACATATAAAACTTTGTCTATACTCTAATAAAAAGTTCCCCAGACCAAAGAGGTCACCTTAATACTAAAAAAAAAAAGTTTTGCAATACAATCTAATTTATACAAACATTTCTAAACACTGTTACTGTATATAAAACTTTGTATTTATGAACTCTCATAGCCTAAATATAGAAGGAGGTCAGTAGAAATAGGACAAATTTATCTAATAAATTTGTTCTATTTTTACTGACTTCCCCCTATATAATAAAAAAAAAAGTTTGAAATATTAGTTTTAAAAATACATAGTATTTTTTATTTGTAGAAACAAGTTGAGACAAAATCTTACAACTTTCACTTACTAATTGTTTAGGTCACCGAAATACTTTTTGACTTTTTAAAACCTTCACTTCTTATCTAGTTTTTGAAACTATTGTATCCTACTGTATCCCAAGTTAAAAAACAATAAAGCCAAAAGTAAAATATCAATAACTCAAGTCGGTTGCTACAGTATATTATATATTAAAAATTTTTTTTTCATATAGTATAACAATTTTTACTTATAAAAGTACTTTAAAAATTACAATTGCCTGTATAAAAAAAAAGATCGTTGCCAATCAAAATTACTTTTATTTTAGCCAATCAAAACAAACTTCTGCTATGCTTCTCTATAATTATCTTTTATATAATTATATTCTCTTTATAAATATTATTTTTTAAAAAATCTATATAATTACATTACTATTATATAAAATTTTTATAATCACACTTTTTTATATAAAACAAACAACTGTATTGAATTGAATAATACACAAACCCACAACTAGAGATGGGCAAAATACACATGCGCATGCGTTTTTTGCATACAAGCATGCATGCTTGACCAAGACTATGATTTAATTTCTTAATGCTGGCCAGAATTAATTGCATGTTTTGCATACCCAATCAAATTCATGGAAATCGCATCTGGATTATTCTAGATGTTCTAGAATGCGATATCCTAATTTAGTATATCGTCAGACTGCTGATAACGATAAAATTTTATCTCTAAAAAAAATCAAGATATTGATTGATCTACTGTGATCCAGCCCACGTAATATGTATGACCTTTTATTCGAGTCCCTAAAAAAAAAATTAATTACAATAGTATGCTCCCAAAAAAAAGAGCCTAAATTTTTTCCGGACAAAGTAGGCAACAACTTCTACCGCATTTTTAATGTCAATTCTTTCAATTATGAAATCATTAATCTTTGTATCCGGATCTGGATCGAAAAACTTAAGATGTAAATTCGTGATTTCCGCACCGTTTTTTTTACCATTAGATTTTCCAGGGGTAGTAATTAATATAAACAAAATCTTGTATATTCTTGTGTCTAATGGCTAACGACATCGTTGAAAAATGCTTTCAGTTACCAACGTGGCTCGGCCTTTTACAGGGCTTCGTCTTTTACTAAAACTTCAAAGGCATCATCTTTCTCCGGAGATTCCACCTTCCGCCAGGGATTTCACCTTTCGCCGGGGGTTTCACCTTCCGTCGGGTGTCTCACCTTTCGCTGGGGGTTTCGTTCTTCGCCGGGATTTCGCAGTTTCACAAGGACGCTTTCGTCTTTCATCGGGTTTAGGTCTTCATTTACATAGAATGATTTCGTCTAACAACTATAAAGACACTATCAAAAACATGCGTATTAATAAAGATACAAAGGTTATTTGCCAAGGTTTTACCGGGAAGCAAGTGAGTTCAAGTTTTAATTATTGCCAAATATTTCTATTCAGAGTTTCCCCTAATACTTATACTTTCATTTCATTAGGGTACTTTTCATTCGCAACAAGCCATTGAATACGGAACTAAATTAGTTGGCGGTGTTTCCCCCAAGAAAGGAGGAACAACTCACTTAGGGTTACCTGTATTTAACACCGTAGCAGAAGTAAGAATTATTGGTTAAATTACTTCTTGGGCTATTGTTTAACATTTATTTAATATTTTAGGCAGCTCGCGAACTAAAACCAGATGCATCTGCAGTTTATGTTCCTCCTTCTCTTGCTGCTGCCGCTATTATAGAAGCCATCCGTGCCGAAATCCCTTTAGTAGTCACGATTACGGAAGGTATTCCGCAGCAAGATATGGTTAAGGTATGTATCAAACAACCGACTTTCATTGAAAAGAATAAAAAAGTCATAATACATTTATATTTCATGATTATTTTAGGTTGTGAAAGTTTTAAAATCCCAAAATAAGACTCGTCTTATAGGTCCGAATTGTCCCGGTATAATTGCGCCAGGTGCTTGTAAAATTGGAATTATGCCTGGTCATATACACAAAGTAGGAAAAGTTGGCATAGTGTCTCGATCCGGAACTTTGACTTACGAGGCAGTTAACCAAACTACTCAAGTAAACCTTGGACAATCATTGTGCATTGGTATTGGTGGTGATCCGTTTAACGGGACTAACTTTATAGATTGTTTGAAAGTGTTTTTGGACGATGAAGACACGAAAGGTATATATACACATAATATAAAATGGCAAGGCTAATAGAAATAGTGATTATTTCATTTATTTCAAAATTTAAATAGGCATTATATTGATCGGGGAAATTGGCGGTTCAGCTGAAGAGGAGGCTGCAGAATTTCTTAAGGAACACAATTTAGCTCGGAGCCAACCAAAACCAGTGGTATCTTTTATTGCTGGTTTAACTGCGCCACCTGGTCGTCGTATGGGTCATGCTGGAGCCATTATAGCTGGTGGTAAGGGTACCGCAGGTGATAAAATTAAGGCTTTAGAGGACGCTGGTGTAGTTGTAACTAGGAGCCCAGCCAGACTAGGTATCACTTTGAGAGAAGTAAGTTAAAATGTTTACTATTAATAATTTGAATCTTTATTTTAGCGTAGTCTTTTAATTTTTTAATTCTATATTTAGGAAATGGAAAAGGCAGGCTTAGCTTAATGTGATACAATAAACATTCAATATCAGTCACATGATTTGTATATACATATATAATTATAATAAAATTATATAAAAATTATTATAACTAAAGATTTTATATTAATTAATTTTTAAATTTTATAATTAAATAGATCAAAAGAAGTAGAATAAGTTATTATAAAAAGCTAATTTAAAATTTTGTAAAATTATACAAGTTGAATAATGTTTATTAGTTTATTATACAGTATATAGTTATTATACAGTAAAATACCCGATCAATATCAAGATCACGGGGTATTTAGTAAAAATACCGTGATACAAACCAAAAAAGGAAATATTTGTATGTAGATCGTAAGATCAGGTGTAACATGGAATTTTCGCCTCTTAAAAAAAATTTTAGTATAGAATCTATTCTCAGCAAATACTGAAATAGAATATTCACAGTGAAAAATAAGTAAACCCCCCTGATCCGTATGTATACAAGCGGAAACTTCGTCGCTAATACCCAACGGCTCAGGATATTTTTATTACTAATATATATATAAAAGTTTGAAAATATCTTAGTAAAAAAATAAATTTTATATATATATATAAACATATACTGTATATTAATATACAGATATCAAAATTGTTAATTTATTTATATATATAGTGATAAAAGTACAACTAGCTATATATATAACTTTGGTTATTTATTTAAGTAGTCTGCTTATAGAGTTTACACTAGCTGCTATACTTATAATTAATAATGCTATTTAAAACTATTTTGGGCTAATAACTAACAGTATTTTGAAACTTTTTTAAAACCAGATTTATATACAGTATAGGACAAACTAGTATAATACATACTGTACAACCAATTCTCTAAAAATCATATTTCTGATATCAACACTTTTCTAATACAACAACTTTTAATATTACTCTATTTCTAACAAAAACACATATATATACCTAATAACATTTAATTTGACAGCAATTTTTCAAGCAAATTTGTCTGGAATTGCCCACAGTTTAAGGAAAAATAAACCAAAATTTATCAATTAAATTTATATTTATTATTTTTTTTTAATTAATAAATTAAATTTTATAATATTTATTTCGTGATTCATGAGATGTACAGAATTTCTATAGAAATGGGCAATTTAATAGTAAAAACAATCAATGCCTATAATCTGAAGCTGGAATTAAAATTTCTTAATTTTTGTCAAGTTAACACCTTTTGTATTTCTAACAAAACTTGTAGAGGCGAT